TGCATTCCTAGGCACTACCTATTCTGGAAGTAAAATAAAATGAAAGTTTTCTTCAAGGTTAAAAACCTGTTGATTGGTAAGTTCACCCATTTATGATTATAAAATATATCCTCTGATAGGTCTTATCCAGGAATATTTTCTGATATAAATGCAGACAGAATTCCATTACTATTGCACACTGTATCCTACTGTTTAATTTTTAACTTGATTGTGATTTTTACATTTAAAATGGAGAAAGGGTTGAGCAAGGATTTTGAGTGCACATGGACTGGCTAAGCAAAAGTATTTACTTAAGAATGGGAAAATGTGAGGGATGTTGTTCAGTTGTACAACACTTGCTTTGAATATATGAGCCCCTGAGATAGATCCTTGGCATTGCTAGGAATAGTCCCTGAGCACTGGAGTAAGGTCTCTCAGCCTCCCTTTATTTTTTGGTTCTGTGGCTCATAGAAAACTTTAGACGTTTTGACAATAGAATGGATTTATTCCAATAAAGGAAAATAATGCTTTCTTTTTCTGACAAAACATCTAATATCACTCATTGATGAGCTTAAATCACAGAAGACCATAAGAGTGCAGTGAGAGCCAGGAAAAAAAAAGACTTAGGTCTTCATCATGGGGAAAAAATTTAAATATATATATATGTATATATATATATGTCAGAGAGAGTTTTAATTTCATTACCTTATTAATGGTTTAATAGCAATTACAATTTTCTAGCTATAATTCATGTAATAAAAGGGCTCATTGCCTGCCTTCTTCCATGCGCATGGGTGATGTGTATGAATACATGAGAAAGACCAGCTGTTACTGCTGCACCATTGAATCATCTTAGGAATGGTGATGTTGGTTGACTGACCTATTATATCACAATCACAATCACAACCATCCTGTTATTCGTCGATTGCCTTGAGCAGGCCCCAGTAACTTTTCCTTCGTCCTAGCCCTGAGATTTTTTTTTTTTTAAAGTGCCATATTCAAGGCTCTTTCAGAGTTAGGACAATGAGACCCTTCATCGTTACTGGTATTTGGCATATCGGGTACGCCACGGGGAGTTTGCCAGACTCTGCCATGTGGGCAGGTTACTTTTGGTAGCCTGCCAGTTTGTCCAAAGTAGGAATGGTGCCGTGTAATTCGGGGCCGCGCGCTTCCAGGAGCTGGGTTTTATAGTCTCTGAGTCTTGGCTGTTGATGGGATTACACGGCTCCAGGGGGCCAGTTGGTGGGTGTGAACCCCGCGTACTGGAATTTGGAGGATATGGGTGGAGGATGCTCAGCCCCGATCCAAGTAGGCTTGGAGATCTCAGCCTTGGGATCCGCGTGCCTTTGTTCCTCTGTCAGTACCTTTATGTGTGCAGAGAGTGGTCTCAGCATGGTGGTGGCTGGTTCTGGAGATCTTCGGCTGCTGGAGCCCTGGTCGGGGCGGGGAGGAAAACTCAACCCGCTCCCCTCCAAGGGGCCCTGGCGAGGACAGCCAGGTGTGGGGGCAGGAGACTCTCCTGGCCACGTGCAAGAAAAATGTCTTACCTGTTGTATTATCACTACTGCCCCAGAAGGATTCTTTTTATTTTTTCCTTTTTGGGTCACACCTGGTGATGCACAGAGGCTACTTCTGGCTCACGCACTTGGGAAATACTCCTGGCGGTGCTCAGGGGACCATATGGGGTGCTGGGAATCAAACCTGGGTCGGCCGCATGCAAGGCAAATGTCCTACCTGCTATGCTATTGCTCCAGCCCAGTCAAAATAAATCTTCCTTCTATTTTATATTTTGGAGGCCACACAGCTAATGCTAAGTGGTTATTCCTGGCTTTGCACTCAGAAATCAGTCCAGGTCGTACCAGCAAGAGGGAACCTGGGTCTGCAATGTGGAAAACAAAGGCTTTCAGTGCTTTGATATAGGTCCCTCACGCCAATAACTGCAGTGCCAGTGCTCAGCCCCAATCCCACGCGCCTCTGCCTATTGCTGACCTGTAGGCAATCATGACTGCAGGGCCACCCAAGATGATGCACTCACACCCACACACCCTGCACCCTGGAACAGCCCCCATCATACCCCGCAAAGCTGTGCCCCCCAAAAAAAGCCTCCACTGCTCCTCAGGAACCACCTAGATATCAGGGATGAAGTGAAAAAAAGTGTGAAAGCACCCCCCAAGCCAGTACAGCTACCCCACTTATAGTGCAGAGACAGGGAAGTGTGGGGTACTCACAGGAGGCCTTGTCTCCTGCCACAAAATTGTCCTTCACAGTCAGCTTTCCAAGAACAGACCCTACTTTGTCCTTTATCCACGAGAACAATGACTGCTGGGCCCTGTGTCCAGAATACCAGCAACTGGAGGCCCTGAGTTCACTCTCACTGAGTGCAGAGCCAAGAGTAAACCCAAGCATTCAAGCAAGGATAAGGATGGAAAGCACCCCAAGTTTATATTAAGCTAAAAACAAAAGGGAAGTCGGAGGGTAGCAGGTATTAAAGCAAGTGGGACAATGGTCTTGACAATGGTCAGACCAGGTTTGATTCCCGACAACCCCATACTGTCCATCACCAGCCAGGAATGATCTCTGAGTGCAGAGACCAAGAACAAACCCTGATTCCTGCTGGTTTGGCCCAAAACAAAATTTACAAAACCTAAAAGAGGCCAGTGAAAGCAGGGCGACAATGCACAGGATTTGGAAACATGCTTTGCATGCAGGAACTTCTGATTTGATGCTGGGCGCCACGTGATCTCCCAAGATCACTTGAAGTGACCCCAAGCACTGATGGGATGCTGGGATGAGGGGGTGAGACTCTAAGAAATAAATTATGTTAGGGGCTGTAATGACAGCATAGCGGGCAGGGCTTGCATGCAAACCACTGGAGTTCGAATCTCAGCACCCCATATAGTCCCTGAGCACTGCCACGAATAAATACTGAGGGAAGAGCCAGGAGTAACCCTGAACACCACTGAGTGTGGGCCACAGCCAAAAAATAAATGAATGGAATTTAAAAGTTACAAATGAAAGAAAATAAAAATTCCAAGTTTGTCCTCGAAACAATACCAAGAGCTAAAGCAAAACAAGTTAAGTGTGGAAAGAGAAGTAAATTTATTTGGTTTGTTTTGAGTCACAAACAGCAATGTATAGGGTTTATTCATGGCTCTGGGATGAGGAAATACACCTGGCCATGCCTGGGGACCATATTGGATGTCGAGCATCAAACCAGCCGTGATTCCTGAGTGCAGAACCTGGAGTCACCATGTGCATCACCTATTATATACTTTCATGATTTTTATTCTTGATCAGTAAACAGAATTTCATATAATTTCTTAATTACATACTGAACATCAATCCAAGGTTGCCAAGAGGTAGTCCAGCAGGTAAGGCTCTTGCCTTGCATGCAGCTCAATCAGGTTTGCTCCCCACCACCACAGAAAGCCTTGCCAGGAGTGATTCTTGAGCAAAGACCGGGATGATCCACGAGCATAGGATGAGCTAGGTGTAAGCCTCAAGCATCACCAGATGTGGTCCAAAAAATCAAACAATGAACAAATCAAATGTTTTTTTCAAAAATTTGAAACAACTGTATACTATGGCTTTAAAAATAACTCAAAATGTCTGTAATGATTTGTTTTAAACTTTAACATATAATTCTGTATATTTGTCCCCTTTGTTCAAATATAGAAGTAGAGACAGAAGTTTCACTCAATAATAACCTACTTGTATGAAAATATTGAAGAAAAGGCCATTTAGAGAAGTATGTGAGAGTAAGCTTTGTGAGTTTGTATATTTAAACATCATGTAGATTTCTTGTTAGGATGGTTCCTTTTAACTTTTCCTATGCAAATAAATCTCATTAACAATAATATGACAAAAACTACCATTATTGTTATCATTTTTGGTGATTTTATGAGAAATATCTCAAGGAGACTCCTTCTTAGATTGCTAGCTATGCAGCACTATAACATTTAGCCCAATCCCAAGGCTTGAAAAATGCAGTAAAAATGTTTTGCATCATTATTCTTCATGTGTGATTTATATTTATGAATTATCTATATTTTTGTATGCTAGCCTGAGGCAGTGAGTTCCCCAAATAGATGCCATTTATTCTAATGTCTATAGGAGGGTACATTTTTATTTGCATAGCCACATCTCTTCTATATGACATAAGTTTTATAAAATGCTTCAGCTGAAAATGACTGCCCTAAGCTATAGAGCATTATTGTTCAGCAAAGGGATCATCACTGTTTGGGAGGAAAATGGGATTTGAGTTGCATCAGTGCTATAGTATTCCGTTTTTAAAATGCATGGTTTCTTTAACATAGTAGAAAATATTAGTGATGCATTTCCTCTAAACTCTTATTCGACAGATATCAAAATTCAGCCTTCTGAAAAAAAAAGGTAATAAGAAATCAAGCTTTGAAATACTGCATTGGAATTGTTTGTTGTTCTCCTCAAGTACTCCACACATGTCTAAAAAGAAGAATAGTTTTTGTGGCGTGTCTTCACATACTTTGTCTTTCACATTAAGATTTATGTTTTATGGATTTACTCTAAGATAAAAGAGAAGCAGTTCCCACCCCGGGAGATTCTGCTACCTCTTTTCTCTTATTTTTGGGATAGCTCTTTTCACATCAGAAATCTTACTGAGTGAACTGAAGTATCACTCTCTGTTATTATAAGAATTTCCTTTTGTTCAGAAATAAAAAAGAATTTCAGTGATAGCATCTGTGAGAAGTGATAGGAGAGGAAAGAGCAAGACACAGATAATGAAACTACTTAGTTTTTCAATCTCTGCCTCTACTCCTCCCTTATCCCCCACACCTAATAATCTTTCATAAATAGAATGATAAATTCCATTTTTTCTTTGGGAAATGGGGAAATGTCTGTGTTGTTTTAAGTATATAGTTCAGTATGCTCTGCTTTAAAATACATGTACAAATAAGCGAGGCGTTATGGATATGATGTTATGGATATGAAGAAGGCACTGAACTGGAAGATGTTTTCAACTTATTTTCTTTGGTTTCCAGGTACGATTCTGGTGGATAACATGTTGATCAAAGGAACTGCAGGAGGACCAGATCCCACCATAGAACTCTCTCTGAAGGACAACGTGGATTACTGGGTGTTGTTGGATCCTGTTAAGCAGATGCTTTTTCTGAACAGCACAGGAAGAGTTCTGGATAGAGATGTTAGTGATTTATTTTTTAACCCTTGTGACATAATCTTACTAAAATATCGATATATGCATGTTTGTTAATACAATATTTAAAAAATTGTATTTTTTCCACCTTACATCAACAGTACTTTTAAAAAATTCCTTGAAGAAATACAAAGGGATAATCTGTTCCTAGAACCACTATTTTTTTTTTCCATTTAAGATCCTGAAAAGTTTTTGGATTTCTGAATAAGGCGTGAATAGTTCAGGATAAAGAATGTGGTGATATTGGAAATTAAAAGCATAGTCCCTTTCTCTATACCAGTGAAAATTTTCTGAAGGTGAAATTTTGACTAGGTGCTTATTTGAGGAAAGATTAATGGGAGGGGATGGAGCAATATTATAGAGGGTAGGGCATTTGCCTTGCACGTGGCCAACCCAGGTTTGATTTCCAGCGTCCCATACGGTCCCCTGAGCACCACCATGAATAATTCCTGAGTTCAAAAGCCAGGAGTAAGCCCTGAGCATTGCCAGGTATGATCCAAAAAGACAAAAAAATAGAAAGAAAGAAAGAAAGAAAGAAAGAAAGAAAGAAAGAAAGAAAGAAAGAAAGAAAGAAAGAAAGACTGATGGGAATACTATCAGGTAGATGGCTACTCTTACAAGTGGTAATTATAAGTGGATACATGATGAGTGAGTGTGTTGGAATGTGATTGCAATATATATATATGTATATATATTAATGAAAAGAAGGTGAGCAACATCTTGCTGACTATATCCCAATTCAGTCATTTGCAGACAGCATGACTTAAGTAAATTTTACTTAAGGACATTTAATTTACCAAGAAGATAATGTCTCATTTCCAAAAATATTGAAAACAAGTCGGTTTAAGTAGTTCTTTATGTAACTTTATTCCCATTTATTTGCACTCTCAGAGTGAGAAAAATGGGTGTGTTAGAATTGGGTGAGATGCCAGCACTGCACGTTCCCTGAGCACCACCAGGACCAATCCACTAGCACAGAGCTGGGCGCGTGGTCCCTGAACACCCTCCAGAATCAAAATAAGTGATTAGTTTCATACATTAAAAGAAGCCTAGAGACACATCAAAGAGCTGGAGCACATCTCTGGTCTCCAGAGATTCTCTAGTTTAATACTAATCAATGGAGTTTCGTTCTGGCACTGTTAAAAGGTCCCCTAACACAAAGCATAAAACAGGTAAATCTTCAGTTTAAATACTGATAGGAGAAAAGATTCACGTCAGTAAAAATGAACAGCAGCTTTATTTTATTTTATTTCATCTCTTCTGTTAGAATTTTAGATTTTAATTAACAAAAATATGCTATTTTTAAGATACAGATTCTTACAATAACCAAAAGTCTAGCGATAAAATATTGCAGTAAAGTTTTTTTTTTGAGGGGGACAGTTGTGTGCCACACCAGCAATGCTCAGCTGTAGGTCCTGGTTGTGTTTAGGTCTTGTACTTAGCTCGTTGAGCTGTTTCTCCAGCCCAGAGTGAAACCAGCCAAAATAGCATAAAGAAGCAATTACCATTAATCTATATGAAAAAGCATTTTAGCACTACCACATGTTTAAAAATAACCTACAAAATCATAACAAATACTATAAAGCCTAATTTTTTCTAATATAAAATAAAATAAAAATGGTTTGATAAATATTCAGCCTGCAAAAAAGTGTGGATTTCACAGAATTTAGTATTGCCAATCCTTTTGCTCAGGAGAGCTAGCTGTCTCTGTGATGGCCATTCAAAACAGGTGCTGAATTATTTTTTCTTTTTGACTTTTGTTACTGTGTCTGGCATATCGAATACTCTCGGTAGCTTGCCGGGCTCTCCGAGAGGGGCGGAGGAATCGAACTCGGGTCGGCCATGTTGGCCGCTTGTAAGGCGAACGCCCTACCCGCTGTGCTAATAGCACAAATTATCTTGTGCTTTCTTCTTCTGAGCAAAAACAAATGTTAGTATGTCTACCATATAAGCTATTCAATTAATGAGAACTTTCAAAATGAAAGATGCTTGAAACGAGAATGTCTAAGGAATATTAAATGCTGAGTAGCACAGAAGAAAATCTATAAATAAACAAAACAAATCAGAAACACATGTTCACATATTTGAAGTGTGTTTATCATCTGGGAAATATATTTGTTGAAATAATGACAAGGCATTAAGTAAAAGTGCTCTAAACCTTAGAAACACATATTTAAGCCTATGTCATTAAACAGTGTCTTTTCAAAGAGTTAATGTTATACCGTCTTGTGCACATGGGCCTAACTGTTCTGGATTTAATCAGTTTGAAATAAAATAGAGGAAGCACTGTAGTCTTAAAGGAGGAGGATTATCTGTGATCCACACCCCTTTTGAAAATTATTCTCCCTCCATCACCAAATATAGTAAACTCACAGGGGAATATGTCTCAAACAAACAATACATATTGCACCTTTATCTTCTTCCCTGGTAACATTATTTTAAAAATTGAGTATAAGATGCTTTTAGTTCAAGCAAAAATTACAATGTAAAAGATGTTGTCAACCTAGAAAATTGAAATGTGATGTCCAATAACTGGACCAAGTTTCCGCTACAAGATCTGTCACTGTCACTGTCTTCCAGTTGTTCATCGATTTGCTCGTGCATCAGTATCATGTCCCTTGTGAGATTTGTTGTTACTTTTTTGGCATACATTTTTTTTGGCAACATGGGTATCTTGCCAGGCTCTGCTGTGCAGGTGCGATACTCTTGGTAGCTTGCAGGGCATTCCAAGAGGGACAGAGGAATCAAACTGGGGTTGGCCATGTGCAAGGCAAACGCCCTACCCACTGTGCTATCGCTCCAGCTGCTACAAGATAGCTGGAAATATAGTTCAGGTGCTTTTCAGGTGTTATGGTATCTGCTGCACTTGCAGTCACCCTTGATTTGATTGCCTGCACCGCATGATTTTCTCGCATCTCTGGCGTAAGACTGGAGGACTCTGTTCATAGCAATGAAGAACGCAAGCAACACCATAACCTCGAGCCCTAGCATTGAATTACAAGCCCATTTGGCTGAAAATCTAGCCCCAGGCCTTCTCTTCTCAGCTTGGGATTCCTCTCCCACATATAAATTAATTAATCTAATACAATTTAAGATATGGGAACCATCACTGAGAAGAGCTGAGAAATAAGAAAGGAAAAATCAAGTATTCATGGCAAATATAAAATCAATGTAATATTGATTTTATTAATAACTCAGCACAGTAGGTAGATGATAGATTTAATAGCTTCATTAAAATTTTCTGAGAATAGACACTTGACTGATTCCTTAAATTTTAGAGCTGAAGTGGTTAATGGTTTAAAATATTTTAATATAAAGTGGTTTAATATATTTCATAACTTCAATGGAGTATATATAGAAAGAGTATTTAAAATTTCGTTCTTAAATGTGGCACAATGAGAAAACTTAACTAGTTGGATGTAATGAGTAGCTATTTCCCCAAAGTTGAGTATATTGATATTGCCATTTTTTAATGTTTTTTTAGTAGTAAAATAATCCTAAATTCATTTGGTCTTGTAGATAAGAGGTTCTTATTGTTACTTTAAATTGTTAACAAATTATTTATTTGTAACAATTTAAGTTCCAAGGGGTCAGAGAGTACAGCAGGTGTGTGCTTGCCTTGCATGTGGCTGAGTCGGGTTTGATCCCCAGCATCCCATGTGTTCCCCTGAGCCTGCCAGAAGTGATTCCTGAGGGCAAAACTAGAAATAACCCCTGCGTGTGGCCCAAAAAATAAAAGAAATTGTGTGAGCCCATTTTTATATAGATCCATCTATAAATAATTTCATCCAGTATTAACTGTTTGATCATACCAATATAAACTTCATTTGATTTCAAATGTCTGTTTCTACTCAAAAGCTACATAGTGACAATACATGTTATTACACTTCTAGCTTCATTTAAAATATGAGGCATCTACATGAAATATACTGCTTTTTGTTGCTGCCAAATGTACACTGATATTCACTTCAGGAATATAATAAATCATAATAAAAATGTGAATTCACAGAATAGCAAACCTGAGCCAACAATCAGGTGTTGACCCTACTAAATACTGCTAAAACTTCATACTATGGTCATTTGGTTAGAATTGATTTTTGTTCTTAGTACAAAATTATACTGCAAATGTTTTCTTAGTGAGTTTCCACTAGTCTTTAGCTAATACTGAATTTTGAAAACTGACTTAAGTCATTCATGCTGCTATAACAAATTAGTGATAGCACAGCGGATAGAGTGTTTGCCGTGCATGCAGCTGACCCAGCTTCGATTCCCCTGTCCCTTTCAGAGAGCCTGGCAAGCTACCAAGAGTATCCCGCCCCCACAGCAGAGCCTGACAATCTCCTGGTGATGTATTCAATATGCCAAAAATAGTAACAACAAGTCTCACAGTGGAGATGTTACTGGTGCCTGCTTGAGTAAATAAATGAACAACAGGAGGACAGTGCTACAGCATACATAATAAATTAGCATGGACTAAGTGGTGGGCTGGAGCTATAGCACAGCTGTAGGGCATTTGCCTTGCACGCAGCCAACATGGCCGACCCGAGTTCGATTCCTCTGCCCCTCTCGAGAGCCTGTCAAGCTGCTGAGAGTATCTTGCCCGCACGGAAGAGCCTGGCAAGCTCCCCGTGACGTATTCGATATGCCAAACACAGTAACAACAAGTCTCACAATGGAGACGTTGCTGGGCCTGCTTGAGCAAATCGATGAACAACGGGAGGACCGTGACCGTGACCGGACTAAGAGGTATGTAAATAACAGAAATTTATTTTCTACAGTTCTGGAAACTGGAAGTCAATAAAAGTAGGTAGCCAGCATGGGCAGGTGAGGGTCCTCTTTTGGGTTTCAGGCTTATCTTACCTATACAGTGGAAAGGGACCAGGGCATTCTCTGAGGACTCTCTTATGGGTATCTGCCATGTTGGGAACTTCCTAAGCATTTTCCAACATCTCCTGTTCCTAATACCTTTCTTCGCATTAGAATTTCAG